TGAAAGTGGCGCATTTGTGATTTTTTTTATCATAATTATGCCTACACGTAATGTTCCCCAACTATCTCAAAGACTACACTGAAAACCTATCACAGCGTATTGGCAAGTTCTCTGTGTATTTCAAAGAGAGTTGATATGTCGTTTTGAATTTTTACTAAGGGTAGTTTTGGTTATGGTCATTTTTATAATGCATATGAATTTTTTGAGAATACCTAGTTTCTTCATAAACTTATTAAACGTATCGTCTTCTTCTTCAATATCTATCTTCTGTACTACTGCATTCAAACCATTCCAACATGTTCTTTCCCACAAGACTTTCTTTTATTTTATTTATAAGTCTTTGTATCTTTCATCTTTGTAACTTTCATCAAATTTCGTTTTGAAGAATGAGTATTTTTGCCTTCTTGCTGTTCACGCCTCTATGCCAAAAAGCTTCAAATTCAAAATGTTTTCATTAATATTCCTATCCATTGAATTTGAGAGCTCTTCTTTAAATAGCGCTTCAATGTAGACACTCAAAAATAGCAACCAGCATTAAAGCTAATATTCTGTGATCTGGGCAGGTTGTTGCACTTGACTTTTTGAAGATTGCTGCATAGGTCGATTGCAGCTATTATGTGGAGTTTGTGGCAGTCTGACATATAAGGTTAAGGAGTTCAACCATTACTTAGGCAATATCTTCATCAAAGAGTTCTTATAATTTGATGGACACTCATCTGGGCCATTATTAAAAAAAACGTGCTGGAGCCCGCTAAAAATATTCTGAAGAGAGAAAAACCAAAGGAACAAAAAGAATGGATGAGTGACGAAATTTTGTTATTGATGAATTCTCGAAGACTATCGAAAGGTAAAAATGAAGAACAGTATAAGCAAATTAACACAGAGATCAAAAGAAAAATCCGCGACGCTAAAAACAATGGTTACAAGACAAATGTAAGGAGATTGAAAACTTGGAAGCCAAATATGATTCGTTCTATCTTCACAAGAAAGTTAAAGAAATGATCAACAATACAAACAGGAAGCAGACAGTACTTATAGACCAACAAGGGAACATGATAATGAAAACAGAGGAGAAACTAAAACATTGGCAGACATACATAGAAGAACTGTTTGACGATCAAAGGCAGCTTCCTTGTGATAATTTTCCAGAGGAGACAGGTCCAGAAATAATCAAAGAAGAAGTAATGCAAGCGGTGAAGTCATCAAAAACAGTATAATTCCTGAAGAATGGCTAAAATCAACCTTTGTCCCTTTTTCCAAGGAGACACATGCTAAGCAGTGCAGTGATCATCGCACGATCAGTCTGATGAGCCATACCTTAAAAATATTCCTCAAAATAATTCACAATAGAATTTACAGAAAATTGGAAGAAGATATCGGAGAAACTCAGTTTGGATTCCGGGAGGGATATGGAGTTATTTGCCTTTAACATCTTGACACAGAGGTGTTTGGATGTGAAGCAAGATGTATTTACTTGTTTCATTGATTACAACAAGGCATTTGATAACGTCAAGAATGACCAACTTTTACAGATCTTGAAAGCTAAACAGTTAGACACTAGCGATATAAGAATAATATCTACTCTGTATTATAATCAAAAGGAGAATTTTTAAGGACTTCTTCTCTTTCTTGTGCTCTTTTAAGGACCTGTCATTTCTTTGATTTTTTATGTAAATTAAAACTATCACACTTTTCATCCAGATCCTTTATTTCCTTGCATCAGTCGGAGAGAAATTAGCAAAGAACACTTTAATAATATCTTATCCATGAACTTCATTATTTTCTTGGAATATGATTTAACTTTTTCTCTTCTTATATTCTTTATGTCATTAACTAGTTTTCTTTGTAATTTTGATTTTTTACATAATTTCAAAATGCATAACTCTTTCAAATAGTATACTCTTTCAAATAATAAACAGGCTAAAAATCAATATATGTATATTTCGATATTCTAATGTCTTATAGCCTTCCAGCTTGGTTTTCTCATCGTACTACTCATTCATTGGCTGACTCGATTCACCCGCGAATTCCAATTTGAATGGAATAACTACGCTGTAAGCCTGTGAGTTAGTGAGGAAGTGAGTCAGTCTGCCTACCCACTGGGTCATTGAGGCTTTATTTATTTCTTACGTATATGTTTTTAACCCTAGAATGGTACCCTGGTGTCGCCGGCGACACCTCGCATTTTCGATTAGATGCAGTCAGAACGTTCCTAGAATGGGGAGGCTTAGATTCTCAGTAACTTTACCTCTTTTAGTTTCAAATCAACTGTAACTGTAATCGGTGTCACATATGATACCACAGTACAGTTCCCGCTATAATTTTGAATATCGAAGTAAATGGCTTCAACAAGCAAAGCTGAGCTCAGCTCAGGCTGAGTTAGAAGAAATTGTGCGTGCTTATAAGGCTGTTGAGAGTGCTGAAGATGCCCCTTTAAATAATACAGAATCTGAATGTTTGAGTGAAGATGAAGAAAAAGAGCTTAGTGAAAGTGAACATTCTGATACCATTTTAGCAGAACCAGAGGTTAGTGAAGAGTTAAAAAACATGGTGCTTCGTCTACCAGGTCCAAAGGTTCACGCTTCAAATACACCAGAAGAGATTCTGGCTTGGAAAATATTTTTCAGGGACACGATGATAAACTATATTACACAATACACAAACCACGAAATCTTTAAACAATCTACTAAATTTAGTCAAACTCTAAATTTACAACTGTTGAAAGCAAAGAAGAGATTTTGGCATTATTCGGTCTTTTATATATGAGTGGTGTTTTAAAAACTAGCTAAAGATAGTGCAAACATTCCTGACTATGGAGCTGCGCAAAGGTGGAGTTAAAATTCACGTAAAAAGCAGAAAGTTTCTATTGTAAGTGGAATTATACAGTGCATAGTACAGTACGTTTCCACATGGAAGTGGGGACTAAACCAAATTTCGTCTACTGCGCCGTGGTCAGGAGTGTTTGTACTATCTCTACCTGAGTACCTCGATTTATGGTCAAAACAATTTGGAATACCAATTTTCAGAGCAGCAAAGTCACAAAAACGCTTTGAATTTTTGATTGTCTGCGTTTTGATGACAAAACAACTAGAGAGGAAAGGAAACGTGACGATAAATTTGTAAGATTTCTTTGGAATGAATTTATTGAAATGTGTGAAGCTAATTACACTACTGGCGCATATGACAATTGATGAACAGTTGCTCAGTTTTCGGGGCAGATGTCCGTTTAAAGTTTATATTCCAAATAAAGCAGACAAATTTGGAATTAAAATCGTTATGTTGTGCGTCTCGTAAGATTTTTTATATGTATTCTGCAATACCATATGTGGGAAAAGAGAGACAAGATGCATCAAAAACTTTGCCCATCCAATACTTATGGATACTTATGGTGTAACTGATGAAGGCACTAGCCAGCCCGAGATTATTTTATTTTATAACTCTACAAAAGTTGGAGTAGACACTTATGATCAGTTGTGCCATTCTAAATATGTGTCTAGAAAAACTCGTCGGTGGCCTCTTAGAGTTTTTTATGGCATGCTTGATGGTGCAGGTATTAATGCTTATGTTATTTATAGCGCAAATAGAACCAAATTAGATCCAAATTTAAAAATCACTCACAGAAAAGATTTTCTTAGGCATTTAGCACTACAGTTGGTGACTCCGCATCTAAAAGGAGATTAGAAATACCAACTTTGTCCAGATTTTTGCGCTTCATGATTTTGGATGTTCTTGGTCAAGAGGACCAACCAGTACTCAGAAATCAAGACACTCAACCTCCAACCCACAAAAGATGTCAAGTTGGCCCTCGATCTGCCAACAGAAAAGGACTTGTGCGTCCGCTGTAAAGCTTGCCTGTGTGCCGTATTGTACCGAAGAAATTTGATTTTTTTTTGTTATAAATATGTTCTTATCTACTTCTTTAGAGTCTTTTTTATAACTCTGCACAATAAAAATGTAAAAAATACGTATGTTTTTGGTTCCTTAGTATAAATTCAAAAAATGTCTGTGGTGTCGTATATGACATCATGGTACCACTAATTACCTAAAAAATATCGATACCATTCTAGGGTTAAATAATAATTTAGTCATAAATAATTCTCTTTTTAAGGGAACTGCTTGACTGATAAGAGCAATTACGAAATAGGTATACAAAATATAACAACGTTTCTTCAATGTTTTGTTTTGCATTACGTTACTAAACAAACACAACTTCCTAAATATTAAACGAAACAATACAAAACGAAATAAATACCTAAACAAAAAGTAACTTAACAAAACAAACTCAGAGAATTAAGCGATTAGATAACGAGGCGCCAATTGGTCGATACTATAGAGTTTTTGATTTGATCTGTCAATACCTGTCAAAATTTCTGGTTCAGTCGATTAAAGCATTTGACACAATCTGTATAAAGTGCAGGTTGTTTGTTCGGTTAGGGGAGGTCTCAACCAAGCGCAAATGAATGTAATGATTATCCTATGCTACTATAGTCAGGAACTCGAAAAGGAATGCGTCACCTTAGTGGAGACATGAATGGCTGATTTGATTGTACCCTTTTCAGCAAACCCTGAGTTACATGGACTAGGTACGCGGAACATTTTAACTGACTGTTGAGCAAGCTACATCTAACAACTGAATACGTACATACTTGTGAATAATTATATTATTATATCGAGATATAAAATAGGAACTTCTTTAAACATCACCTAAAGCTTTATCGTACAAAACATCAGTATCTCGATATATTAAAGTGAAAATCAACAGACTATATAAAAATTTCACTCAGTCTTTCCGTATTTGCATAAAAATATGTGCTCATATGTTCCTTCTCATAATATATGAGTTAACTTGCAAATATAGGAATCGCTTATATATCTATATATTAATTAGGATTATACATAATTATAATTAAAATTAAAAAAATCACAGGTGTCGTGGAATCGCCATCGATTGTTTCTTAAAAAAATATAACACATATATGCAAACTATATGTGAGGATGTGTTAGGCCGGAGTCAGTGTAAAAGTAACTGTGAGAGGAGCTGGTTGTTTCTGTAGCATGGGTAAGACAACTACAGAAGGCATAACCCTGCGTTCAGAAGTTGACTCTTCCAAGAGGAATGCCTGCATTACATATCCTGGCCCTGACGATAAAGATGCTTCATCTTGATGATCATGTTCTAATTGATTTTGTGGTATAGCATAGGTAGCTGGCCATTGCATCCTTTTCGCTACATCCTTCAACGATTGTTCGATTTCAGAAGACAATTCAATTGGTTTTGATTTGATTGGAGATGGTGGTTGTTTGCATTTTCCCTGACTAGACGTTGAGATACCTTGTTCTTGTTTGGAAAGACTATCGTCTTCAAAATTTTCTTTATATATCTCTTTGGTTCCTTCTTCTCTGTTTGTTGTTGGTAAAAGAAAGGCGTGACTAGATAATAAGTGACGTTGCAGAAGTTTACGATCTACAAAATTTTGAGGGCATACAGGACATTTCAACGAGAACCCGTCGCTGTTCATGTGAGACCTTTCATGAACGAATAACAGTGGCAGTAAGGGTGAGGTGAATGAACAGTAAGAACACTGGTACATTTTGGAATTACCCTCATCTATACCAAATAAACTAGATATAAAATTTTGAACTCCGCCCACTTTTTGTTGTAAGTCTTGACTACCATTTGGTACTTTTAAATTAGGATTACCTTCCGCGCTTGAAGACATGATTGGTTTAGTTGTTATTCCTCGATTTTGTTGTAGCTGATGTTCGATTTCAGCCCATTTTTCAGCTCCTACCTGGCCGTGATCTGTTATCAAATGTGCTTTTAACCATTTCGTGCTTCGAAATCTTCTATTGCAGATGGTACATACTTCGGTGAAATGACTAAAATATCTATGACTCATATCTGCCAAATCACCGGGTTTAAGAGCTGGGTCTGCTTCTAGTGGCAGAGAAGGTGACGGTAGTACTGAAGGTTCTCCATCTGATTTTCTTGGGGGCAGTAGATTTCCTCCATATTCGATAATACCATGAGTGTTATGTTTATGTACACGCAAAAAATATTTACTACATAGTTCTTTGTTACATATGTCACATACAACGCCACCAATTTGTGCACCATTTTCGATTTCTATACCGTGCATTCTTTGCATGTGTGTTTTCATGAAATATTTGTTACACAGCTCTTTGTTGCAGATTTCACAGTAACTGCTGGTGGGAGTTACGTTCATAGAAATGCGACGTTCTGGGATATGTCCACCGGAAATTGATACCCTACTAGATAATTTTTCACCACTGTTTGTAACATTATTATCTTCTTTAGCGACATCACCTGCCATTGAGTTATTAGAATGAAACTCCATTATATGCCTTGATAGTTCTTCAAAGTTAGGCAAGTCTTTTCCACATATATCACATATAGTATTATTATTTGATGATGTTTCTTGGTCTCCAGATTTTTCACATTCTCCTTCATCTAGTAGTAAACTATGTTCTGATATCATATGAGACTGAAGAAAAAATCTGTTCTCAAATTCCTTGTTACAAATAGTACAGTTGGAAGAAACTTTAGTTATATTGATATCATTAAGTTGTAGAATCATTGTTTGAAGTTTTTGTAGGTCTTCGCTAATGGCTTCTGGGTTTACAGATTTTTCAGATGATTTTGATCCCTCGGAAGCTTTAACGTCTGGCTGCGATGGTCTGTCCGATTCTTCAGATTCCCTAGAACATACCCTTCCATGAACACTAATATTGTGCAAATGGGCAAGACTCGCGTTCTGAAATTTGATGCAGCATAGATCACAACCAATACTAGTAGGAGACGTAATTTTACTATCGGAGCTTCCCTGCTCTGTCATTATTAGATTTAAAGGACTAGTTTGTACGTTTGTCGACGAGGAGAAACCTGACATGCATTCACCCCTTATATCCTTTTCTTTGTCGTCTGGAATGTATATACCGTGCCGCTTTAATTTATGTGTTCTTAAAAAGTATTTATTACAGTATTCCTTACAACAAATCTCACAAAATGCTTTAGGATTCATGACACCAATTTTTCTTAAACGATATGACAAGTCTGATTCACGGTTTGTTTGATCAGACGATAATTTACTCGATGTATCTTGAAAGAATCCATCTGGATCGTTTTTTATTGAGGTAGATTCGGTTTGTATACAAGGACTTGTGTTTTCTTCGGCGCGATGATCTTCGGAAAAAAATTTATCACTGTCACTTGAAGATGACATCCCATTTGACATGGCAACGTTTTCGTTTATTTCACTTTCAGTTAGAGTTGTCTGGTTTATAAAAGGGTTTTGAAATATACTATTAAATGGGTTAATCATATTTACTGGCGTTTTTGGTTCATTTGTTGCAGTTGACTGGTCTGCAGTTGGCACGAGGTTAGGTAACTTTAGGTTAGTTGAAAGTGGTGGTATATTCACAGATGCCGGCAATGGCTCCGAAGAAGAACTATCTGTGTAAATTCCGTGCTTGTTTGCTTTATGTGTTTTAAGAAAATATTTATTACAAAATTCTTTGTTGCAAAGATCACAGTAAGCATCTGGGTTAAAAATTCTGATAGGTTTAAGAGAAATATTGTCTGAATGTGAATATTGAGGTAGAGCCATAAACATAGGGTTAGCTGCGTTAAATGAGATGTTTGGTAAACTAGAACCAATCCACTCTTTATTTTGCATATCGTTCACCCATTGCATATCAGATCGCATCATGGAGAGTCCTAATGGTGTATCTGGTTGGTCCAAGTAAGAAACTGATGATGGTGTAGTAGGATGTTCATCGGGTTCTTTCTTGCACTCTAAAGAAGGATTCTCACAAATATGATTTTGTAGCTGCTCTGGATATGAGAAACAACGTTGACACAATAAACAGCGATGGTTTGGTTCAGGTGAAGGCACGGACTTACCTTCAACAGGACTAGCAGTTGGACTGTCTTTTTCGCTGGTTGATATCCTAATGGGAGTAGATTGTTTCCGACGTTTCTTACATGAATCGGTTGATGTTAAACTGAGGGAACGTTTTATTGTGCGTAGTGCATCAAAATCAGGTTTGTTGTTGGGTAACTTTTCCGTCATAGACGATGAATATCCTCCATTTAAAGTACCCGAACCTGACGGTAATGTGACGGATGTCATCGTGCTTCCTTGTAGGCTTCATGCAACAATCGTATAGGTCCCTGAAACAATAAATCCTGAATTAATACCTTCATTCTCGTAAATTATATGCAAATCAGAAATATAGACAAATCATGAATGTGTTGCTTGTGTGAGTCCATTTCAAATAGGTAAAGAAATAATAAATAAGACTTACTCACAATCAATTTAATTTAACTATTCAGACGACCGGTTTCGCTTTCTACAATATGCAAAGCATCTTCAGGTCTCGATACAAAGTAAAATAAATGATGCCGGTACTCTATTAATTGATGGATGGTAGAACATGGTTGAAACTATCATGTATTGATGAATGGAGAACTTAAGTCCGCTATTGTAGCTGTTTTACAGTAAATGGGAAGTTCTTGAGGAGATAGATTTGATCGAATGAAGTAGAGATAGGTGTGTGATTGTTTGTTATTGTTTGTTAAATTTATCAAACAATCACACACCTATCTCTACTTTATTGGATCAAATCTATCTCCTCAAGAACTTCCATTTACTGTAAAACAGCTACAATAGCGGACTTAAGTTCTCCATTCATCAATACATGATAGTTTCAACCATGTTTCTACCATCCATCAATTAATAGAGTACTGGCATCATTTATTTAACGTTGTATCGAGATCTGAAGATGCTTTGCATATTGTAGAAAGCGAAACCGGTCGTCTGAATAGTTAAATTAAATTGATTGTGAGTAAGTCTTATTTATTATTTCTTTACCTATTTTAAATATAGATAAATTTTGTATCCAAAGGGGAGATTTTCAGTGAATATTTTAGTAAATAAACATATATTCCAATAAATAACAAATAAAATAAAATTTAATTTAATAAAATATAATCTGCAAACGAAGATCTTTAGTCAATACCAAAGGCTGGAGAGCAGCGGAACAATACTCGACCAAGATGAGGTGCGGTACAGAAACGATCAATCAACACTCAATCGCAGGAACGAGAAAGGGCGGTGGGCTCTGATCACTACTCAAAGACCGGGAAAAAAGTTGTTGCCAGGTCAAAACTAATTATATAACTTAGTTCTCCTCGCTCTACGTGGCATTTTATACTCTTGGCAGTTGTTTATTTGCAGGCAGATAGACGGCAATCGATGTTGGCAAGCGATGACGGCATTATCGTTACAATCTCAATTTTTGACATCCTAGAAGCGGTAGATGCGTCCCTTACAATTTTAAATAGGAAGGAGGATCAAGTGGCACATTATTTTAAAGGCTCTTTAATTTTGTCTCCATTGCTAGTTCAGTTTCATATTTTTTCTAAGTAGTTGTATTTGACAGTTACAGAAGTAACAGAAGTGAACTCATAGTCACTGTTGTGAGCACAAGACAGTCATTACTTCTCCGATATTGTTGCCAAACTTCAACGATGGTACTATAGGAAGAAGATTGAGATTGACCAAAGACTATAAACATTTTTAACAGTAATGTTAATGTAATCACCAGCAGTGGTTTCACATCTTGTTATAACCCAAAGTATTCTTCAGAACATTCCTCCATTCAACCCCCTCTCTGCCAACTCTAACTCCAATAGATTTTAAATCATTTCTAGGTTAGGTATTCCAACTGTGGAGAATTGCAGCAGACATTAACATAGCAATATTTTAATATAATATAAATTGTTTAAAATAATAAATAAATAATAAAATTACCTTCTTTAATTTTAAAAATACAGAAAACATAATATTGAAGTCTACGGTACCGCCTACTATACCATCTTTTTTAATTGGACACAAGATATTATTAATAGAGGTAGTAATGAAATCGCTAGCTGTATGTTACGATTTTGTGAGTCCAAATCCAGAGATATATATCCATAAAAAATAATCGACGTAAGATGCCTCAACTCAGCAGATGTCTGTAGCGAGTATGGCCTAGTATTATGTAAAATAAGAATAGTCCTGAAATACTTTCCATCCAAGAGAGCTGAAGAGCGAGAGCACAAACAAAAATCAAAGTCGAAGGACTGAATACGGAATTGACGGAATACTTATACAGGAAAAGAATATCAGACAAGACCGCTGAAATGAAATATTAGAAAACTATAACATCGAGGAAAGCTGGGAAAAACTCAAAAATAATATAATTAATGCAGCAACAGAATCACTTGGAGAGAGGAAAGTAACGAACACTAACATATCAAAAAAGAAAACACCATGGTTTAGAGAGGAAGTGAAGACAAAATGTGAAGAAAAGAAGAAAGCCTTTTTAACAATACAGAACACAACAAACACAACAGGCATACAACCACTATAAACGAATCAAACGACAAATAAAAACGGGAACACTGGCAGACTTTCTCAAAACAGATGGAACACGATTTCTACGGAACACAAAAAGAAATATGGAGAATGATCAGAGGACAAATAAAAAAGATGAACGAACTAACAAAAACGAAACACATTTAGAAGGAAACATGAGTAGACTACTTTCGATCCCTGTTTGCTAAAGGTGACGTTGATGAACCACCAACACCAGAGGTGACGACAAACGAAGAAATAAATATTGAGGATGAAGAGGAAAAGGAAGCATTAAGGAAATTAGAACAAACAGAGTCGCAGGATGCCTAAATGAAATAATATGGAGAAATAAAAATATCGGGAAAGAAACGAAAGGCAGAATTCACAAAACCGTCATAACACCAATAACGACATACGCGGCAGAAACAAGACCTGACACAAAGAAAGGATGTTAGAAACAGCAGAAATGAAAACACTTAGAAAAATTGATGGTAAGACACTATGAGACAGAGCTAGAAGTACAGATATACGACATAGATGCAAGGTGGAGAACATCAAAAACTGGGTAAAAAATAGAAGAGTAGAATGGAACGATCATATAAGCCGAATGACAACAAATAGAGTAGTAAAGACGGCAAGATACGGTTCCCCAATAGAAAGACGTATCAGTAGGAAAGAAATCAGTAGGAAGACCACGAAAACGATGGAATGACAATTTACTGGAGACACATTAAAAAACAGACAGAGACATCAATCAGGGAATAACGAAGAAATACATTCTAGGATTGGCCAAGCAATATCAGCCACTAGTAGACTGTTACACGGACTATTGTGGAATAATAAAATAGCAAAAGAAAATAAAAGAAGAATTTATAAAACAATAATAGAAAGTATTGGGTTGTACGGCGCCGAACTCTGCGAAATTTATCAAAGAAACAAATCAAAAATTAAAGCCATAGAAATGGACTTTTGTAGACGATTTTCCGGCGTACTAGACTTGATAGGATGAGGAACGTAGACATTAGGACATAAATGGAAATTGACCTAGACGTAATAGATACTATCGAAGCCAAAAAACTAAACTGGAATGGCCATCTGCAGATAATGCCTGAAAATAGATGGTCAAAAAAGATAGAAAAATGGACTGCGCTCAGTAGAAGAAAACGAGGTAGACCAAGACGGTCATGGAGAGAAGATATCGAAGATGCAATGATTGCCAGGGATTTAAAAACGTAAGATTGCTTCGACATAAAATGGTTCAAATTAGGATGCTAGAAACGCTACTTGACTTCTTTATCCATGACGAAACATACCATTTCGAGTTTAAAGTTAGTAGAGAAAGGTATTATGCACACAAAACTCTAGTTTCACAAATTCTTGCTATTTATTTTTAATATTATAACTGACAAAAGAAAATAGCTTAAAATTATTTATTTTGAAGGTCTCACTCATTGGAATCAAGAACAAAATAAAAAGGGTTTTATACAAAACGTTTTTTAATTTACTCAAAACTTTGAAAATGCGACATGACACCTTTATCAACTCATGTCTTCAATTATTTGAAATTTATTTACCTGGCTGTTTAATGTCATTAAGTTTAATATCCTTATCATAGCTTCATTAAAAACGACTATGATAATCTTGAGATTTGTACAACAAATCGCAAATATGCATACAGAATCATAGAAATCACTTATATTTTATTTTTATTGAGAATTGTGGAGGTATTTGTTGACCCAGAAATGTCCACACTGTCAGCCTTTTTATAACACGCACTCAAACTATCGATTTTAGACTGTTTAATGACACATTTATTCCTGTACTTTTAACTAAAATTGGAATAATATCCAACATCATTTATTTGATTAGTCTGTTTTATCTGTAGTAGTTTACCATTTTTTGAAGGATATATAATACAAGACGCGTAAATTATCAAAATAAACAATAGAGGAATAAGACACGTGTAACTACCCCTATATATAATAAAAGGCATTAAAAACTAATCAACGTAAGGCATCACTCTGGACACAAGACTGCGCTGAAAAGTTCACGTCAAAAGAAAAAAGGAGAATTTAGAATTCAATACAAAAAATGTACTGGATGATTGGGAGAAATTCTAAATTTTCCATTAATATCAAATTACTAGTCTCATAAGTATTTAAATATTCGGGCTTTTCTAAGTTATTTCCAGTCCATTTTTCGTGTATTCATCTTCTAGTTTTCGGAGCACATAGGATAGATTTTCTCAATTCATCCGTTACCACTTGGTCATCTGCAAAGTTTGCAGTGTGCAAAAGAAGTCGTCTCGAATTGTTATTCCCATACCTTCAAATTTATTTTTCCATGGTTTTAAAATAGTTTTATTTTAGGATTATCTTGAGCAGCGTCTGAGATGTAGAACTTCCCTGTAGGAAGCTTTTGTGGTCTTGATTCGTTCGAGTATTTATTGCCGATTTTAACTCTAACTCTGTTATTGTTGTATAGATTTTTTGCGGCTTCTATTAACCTCAGTTTCCAAAACTACAATTGTCATTTGGATCGCCAACCTTCAAAAGGAAACGGAGCCATGAGAAGAAGATTAACCTCTGAAGTTTTCCAATTTTCTTCATCGTCTTCCATAGTTGTTAAATGAATGGACACAAAAAAGAATGGAATAACCACATAAACATAATAAAGGAGACAGTGTCGTCAAAATAGCAAAATTATTCGAGCATTCAACCTTATATCAA